ACTGTAGATATTAGATAGATAGATATATCGACATAGGAGAAAAAGTTTTGAATATTTTAGTGAACGGCATGAAAAAAAAATCCTCCCATAAAATTTTTTTTTTTATTTTTTATTTTATTTTATTTAGACATACAATATTCTGTCACAGGGACAATAATTATATTGATAAATGAACACATTCACACCGTATATACAAAAAAATAAAATAAAATTAACAAAGTAAAACAATAACTAAATAATAATAAATAAAAACTATATACAATATAAAATAACCTAAATATAAGTAAATTAAAAACATAAAAATACAATCATACCTATATACAATATATAAAATCAGGCGGGGAACCCAAATCCCTGCGCTAGTCTCTCAACCTCCACACCAGTGTTAAAGCCGGTGGAGTTTGAGCGAGAGCGCTTTAGCCACATACACTCATGTCTTGAGTGGAGAATCTGGCCATTGCCAGAACTCCAAAATAAATACTATAAAAGATCTCTGGGCCACTGCCGCTTCAACCTTTGAGGAGGGTTGTAGGGATGAGTGGAACTAGATAGGGATTGGGCTAGGGGATTTGGAGGATTGATAAGGTTCTGATGGAATTTCGAAAAATTTTCAGGGATAAGGTCAAGGACAAATGGGATATTAATATCATGATGTAGGGTTTTGTTGGTTACATAGGACGGAGCATCGACTATTGTTCGGAGGACTTTGGATTGAAAGGATTAGATGCGTTTGATGTTAGAGAACTTTGCTGTCCCCCAAAGTTCAAGTCCGTAGGTCCAAATGGGTTTCAGGATTGTCTTGTAGATCAGTAATTTGTTGTCAATTGAAAGTTGAGATTTTCTGGTCAGTAGTCTGTATAAATGGCCGTATCGTCGGTTAAGTTCTTGTCTTTTAAGTCTAGTATGTGGGTTCCACGTTAGTCTTCGGTCTAAGATAAAGCCAAGATACCAGACTGTGTCTGAAAAAGGAAGCTGGATGGAATTAAAGTTAACATAAAATTACGTCCAAAAATTTATATATTTTTAATTTCAAAACAAACTCGTATTTAGGAGTTTTAGTGGACCCTAAAAACGAATCTAGATCGTTTTTTCATTACAAAAATTTACTTGACTTACTTTACTGGAAGCTTCTATGAGTTTTCGTAATTTATTATACCTTATAATTCGTTTAATACAATCAGCAATATATTTTTCTTATTTTAAACAAAAAAAACATATCTATTGATATATAATACCTCATAAATCCACGCAGAGCAAAATTAGAAAACAGTGACATTAAAAAACCATAACATTTTATAAAAATTGTTTTTTCTCGGCTCCGTAGGGCGCATTGGTAAGAACCCTCAGACATGTTTCTAATATTTTTCGTTCTAGTATCACCAAATAAAGTTTCATTAAAATCGGTGACCCCACGTCCGTAACCTCCCCTTGTCAGTTCAATGGTTTGAAACTGATGAGAGGAACTAGATGAAGTTTGGAGATTGGTAAGTTCCTTACATTCTTTTTGAGCTTCAGCTATAAGTTTAAATGGGATGGAAGATGGAACAAGAATTGAAATGATTCTGTAGCACGCATCAGCTGAAATATTAACTAAAATACTTGAAACGTTTGTAGGCTTCCAGATCATGAGTGCTTTATGACATCTCAGATTTGAAAAAAAAATAGAAAAGAAGACCAGAGACCCTAGGACATCAATGTTTTTTTATGCAGAGCAGTCTGCAAAAAAAAAAAGCAGAATCTGAACATCATAAATAGAATTATTAATAGATCGGAAGAGGGATGGTTAAGAAGGCTAGCATCAGTAATCTCTTTGATTTTATTGAAAGCGTGGATAACTGTTAGGTTCCAATTTACCTCTCGTTTGTCTTTCTTTCTTAGTTTACCTCAAAGTTCATATAGTGGTCTTTGAGTAGCTCCACTCCCAGTTAGCAATCATCTGTAAAAGTTGGTAAAACCAAGAAACCTGCCTAGTTGATTGACAGTTTTCGTCTGGGGAAATTCTTGAATCACTTTCACTCTACCTGGAAGAGAAGAAAGGCTAAATTGATTAACTTTATAATCCAGGAAGTCAATTTCAATAACCCTGAAGATATATTTCATTCATTATTGGCACAACAGACGCATGTAAAGGTCCTTGACCTATTCAATTTCCTTTGCCCAGTCATCTCTGTGGGCTGCGACCCTGATGGATATGACATTTTTTCTCGGATCTTCTTTTACGTTATCTATCCATCTTGCCTTCGGTCTTCCCCTAGACCTAACTCCCTCTGGCTTCCCATGATAAAGCCTTCTCGCTGTCCTCGCTTCATCCATTCTTATGACATATCCTAACCATTTCATTCGCTGCAATCGAGCGAATTAGGAGATAGACAGATCACTGTACATTAATTATACCTCCTTGTTTGTTCTCAAGCTGGGAACTCCTTCCTACAGGTCCTATTATCCGTCTTAGCATTTTCCTTTCAAATCGATCTATTCGTTCAGCAGATGCCTTTGTTAGAGTCCATGTTCGTCACGCATCTGTTGCAACTGGCGGAATAATCGTTTTGTATATCCTAAACTTCGTTGTGCGACTTAACAATCTACTTTTCAGAAGGCTCGCTTGAGAAAAGTACGCTCTGTTGGCAGCCATTATTCTAGCTCCTATCTCCTCCCCTTTGTTATTGCTATTGTTAATTATGGACCCGAGGTAGGTGAAGTGCCAACATAGTGCTGTGGTGGATGGACAAGCTTTTTCTTCCTCAAAACAAGGACCATGATTTTACTTTCGTTGATGCATAGCCCCATTTTCCCTGCCTCATTCTCCAACCTACTGAATGCATTCATCACTGCTTGAAGTGATCGCCCTGCAATGGCCACAGCGAGCAGTTGGACCATTCTGTGGAATATTGTTCGCCGTCTTAAAATCAATGAAGAGCATCTACATGGATTTATTATACTCATTCATTTTTTCCATGATCTGTCTAAGGGCAAAAATTTGATCGATCGTTGATCGATCTGTCCTAAAGCCACCCTCGTAATCTCCAAACTGTCTCTCCACGTATGGTATAATGCGATTATACAGAACAATAGAGAATACCTTATAAGCAGAATTAAGAAAGCTGATACCTCTGTAATTTCTGCAGTCACTTACATCTCCTTTTCTCTTATAAATTGGGACAATGAGGGACTCTTTCCATTCTTTCGGTAGTTTTTCTATTCCCCAAATATTTGCTACTAATTTGTTAATTTTCTCTGAAAGGCGACTCCCTCCTTGTTTAAGAAATTCTCCAGAGATTCTGTTGACTTATTATTCCTAAGTTTTTCCAAAATATTTCCGATGTCGTCAGAATCAGGTGGCATGACTTCATCGATATCTTCCTCTCTTATTGATTGCATGCTTCTGTGGGTTCTTATTTCTCCATCTGCAGGGTTGAGTAACTCCTGGATGCTCTTTCCATCTCTCCTGTAACTCGTTCTCCACAACAAGCAGCTTTCCACTCTTATCTCTTACTATACCTGACTCATTCACGGAACCAACTTTGGCGGCATTTACGTCTTGAAAGAACTTTCGTGTTTCATTCTTAAGCCTAGCTTCTTCAATGTTTTTCACTTTGTCCTGAAAGGCTTTTCTTTTTTTTTTCTGCCTCAGCACTTTCTTAGAATGGCTCCTTGAAGATATATTTGGACAAGTTAATGTTCATACAAAATTGACAGATTCGTTGTAATAACAAATCTAGATGTCTTCTGTGTTCTTCTTCTGACTCTGAAAAAAAAGATAGACCATCAATTTAGGCACATACTAAAGTTATGCCAGGAAGAATAGAATGGATAAATCATGTGTTGAAATTCATGCCGTGCTTGTTCAGTTTTTCAGACAAAATACGACGTGGTTTAGCTAAAATAGGAGGTCCTGTTGTGATTGTGTGGACAATATCATGCTTAACATTATGGAAATTTGACTGTCTTGATAAGTCAGAATATCTTGATATTAATTCTTGAATGATTATGAACGTCTGTTAAAGGATCCAACGTATGCTGAAAATTTTCTTGTTTCATAATTGAGAGTTAATATCCTGTAAAATAGGTGCAGAATACCAATCAGGGTGGATTATATTGTTCCGAGATCTGTAACCGCCGCAAGGTCTCCATGATCCGTCTTTTTTTAAAATTTTGTGGAGGGAGCTTGCCCGACAACTGTTTGAAGGTTTACAAATGCCCCTATCAATCATGTGTTGAAATCCATGCCGTACTTATTCAAGTTCTTCAAGAGAAAGGCGAAGCAGTTTAGCTGAAAAATAGGAGGTCCTGTTGTGATTGTGTGGACAATATCATGCTTAACATAATGGAAATTAGACTCTCTTTATAAGTCAGGATATCTTGATATTAATTCTTGAAATTTTATGGGAGACAAAGTCTGTATTCTGGGTTGATAAAAAAAAAATAAGATCTTCTAATGGTGTTCAGGGATATTGTGCAATCATGTACACACTTATGTTTATTATCAACGAGAAGACCTAAATGATTATGAACGTCTGTTCCAAGAATGGAATGGTTAACATCAGCAATAATAACCATAAATGAAAATTTACACCGTAGACCAAGATCAAGTTGAATGATTTTTTTATCATAAATACCCGAGTCAAATATCTACACCAGAAGAAATTTTGCTTTTGAGTTCTGATCTAGTATGTATAAGCGGCAAGATTTAATTTACTCCAGAATCTCAGGCGCAGTGACTTCTGGAAGAACTAGTTTTCTGACTGACCTCTTGAAGATTCTAAGGAAAATGGTTTAAAGGAGTTTTTTTAGCAGACGATCCAAATTTAAAATGGTACTATCAGAGAGGATTTTCATTTGAATAGGAACTTCTGCGTGGGTGAGAGATCTGTTGAGAGAACTATTGAAGCAGTTAGAGTATTAGGATTAGACGGAATTCTTGGATTGAAATCAATGATGAAATATATTGTGGACCTGATGATGACTTCAGAGTAGTGTAGTGTTGAGTGGTGTTATGGACTATGGAGCGAGAAAGGAGAGTCAATAATAATGGGCCAATAAAAGAAGTAAACACGCAGCTATCTATACTTCTTCTCCCCTCTCCTCATCCCCACGCAATTATGTTGACAGCGTTCCGCGATCAGAGCAGAGGTATGTTATTTTGGAGAGTGAGAATCTCTCACGTCTATGGAAGACGTACATTAGTCCTCAGGAAACTCCTACCGTTTTTACAAGACTTTCATTGCTAAAGATATTTCTCTATATTTGACAGTCCCTGCAGCATCTATCCCAGTCCTTTAGTTTTTTCTTTAACTTTTTGGTCTGTGGGCTCCATTTTTTAAACTAAGGTTCTACTCTGCATCTTTCTTTTCATGAGTTCCTGTCTTGCAATTCTACTAATACCAATCATCAAATATGTATTCCAGTATTTTTTATTATAATTTAGCACAGGAAATTATATTTTATTTACTGGATGCACTAAGTGAAATAAAATACAATTTTGGAATTTTTATTGTTAGTAAGTATTTATTGTTATGCTTGTAGTACTTAATATGAAATTCACAGAAAGTTATAAATTTGGCTATAAAATGGAAAATTATATCATCCATATATGTGCCCAATGGCCTTTATTCTGGTAGATTGTATTATAATTTTTCCAATAAAAATCTATGATTTTGAGTTTAATTATTTAGATGAGGACCTCGATCACTTCGATCACACTTGTTCATGGAGTGTCGAATGCATCCAGGTTTATCTGAAAGATTGTTTTCGGCATTTCATGAACAAGTGTGATCGAAGTGATCGAGGTCCTCATCTAAATAATTAAACTCAAAATCATAGATTTTTATTGGAAAAATTATAATACAATCTACCAGAATAAAGGCTATTGGGCACATATATGGAAGATATAATTTTCCATTTTACAGTCAAATTATGGTCTCATCTAAATAATTATCATTTTGAGAAGTATGCAATGGAATCTTTGTCCGAAAAAGATAAATGATCAAATCTTTAGAATTCAATTAAATTGGTATAAATTACATTTGCTGTAGAATCTACTGGTTTCATTTTCAACCATCTTGTATTTTGATGAAGTAGAAAAATAAATTTAAATTAAACGAAATCTTCAATTCATTTCTGAAAGTTGTTGATGGTCGTAAATACGTCCTTGGCTACTGACCACGCCCAAAGCGCCCCCTCATCGGTCTGATAACTAATGTTTTCCTATAAATATTATTGTTTTAAAAAAAATATAATTAAATAATGTATAAAATTATTGTTTTAGTTTGAACATTTAATTATAATATTGAACAGAATAGTGATGATTTATCTGAATTTAATAAGGAAAAAATTGATGTGGCAACACTGGGTCAGGCTCAGGTCTTATAATGATTTTAGCCAGTCGAGGCCTGGGTTAGTCCCCGCCTGCTATACCCGTTGGTCTTGTTCCGTAGAGGGGAAGATAATAGTTTGATCGCAAACCAGCCGGTCACTGAGCGGGTTACGGGTTCGAGACCCGGGGAGCTTTCGGCTTTTAGCCCGAATCAGGGTGGACAGGTTGAAGGAGTTTTCGTGAAGAAAGTGTTGTGCTTTGCTTCATTTGTGTGTGTGTGTGTGTGCGTGTGTGTGCGTGTGTGTGTGCGTGAGAGAGTGTATGAGTGTGTGAGTGAAGGCTTTCTATAACTGAACAGTACTTAAAACTTGAAGTTGTTAGTTAAAATTTCTCCGAATATTTATCTACTCGCTAATGTGTTTACCTTAAGAAAGTGAAAAACGATAAGGACACTATTCAAGTCTGTGAAGATTAAAGCTGCAGCTATTTGAACAAATTAAAATATTTGGAGATATTAAAAGAAAAAGGTGTTAAAAGCGCCTATTGGCGCCATAAATATGACGCCCAAGTTTTAAACTTAAACATAGTATTAATTAAACATAAGAAGATTAATTTAAAATATCATTAGTTGGATAAACGATGGGGTGTTTTGGTAGTGCAGCTTCCAGAGCAGACCATGAAGAGACTAAAAGAGGACGGGAGACAAATAAAAAGATCAACCAACAACTTCAGAAGGACAAGCAGGTCTACCGGGCGACTCATCGCCTACTACTATTGGGTAATTTACTTGTTTAATTTTATGTCTAGTTACTTGTTATAGCTTAGTGGTTATGTTTTGTATCAGTTAACAACCTAGCTCCAGCCTGGTGAACTGTGTCCGTCTTTTCTAGCCGTACTTTAGGGATATACAGTCGCCATATTGCATTTGAGTAATTTCTATGCAAACCTTAATTCTCTTATCGTCCCTTTTAAAATATTTGTATGAACATTATTTATAATTTCACTAAAGTTGTTCTAAATCTTGGGGGAAATGTTAAAATGCTTGATGATAACCTCACTTCCTTTATCAGACCCTTAACTTTCTTTTATGTTAATCTCTTTCACTTGTATTTTTGATAGGAATTAATTAAGGAAACCTTCACACATACAAACACAGACCATATATATATATATATATATTCAAACATATACTGGTGCACATATACACATACACACACAGACATATATACATAGATGAAATTAATAGTTTTTACTTGATAGATTTCTGATTTTCATTAATAATTTTCCTCTTGAACCGATATTATTTGTAAGTTTTTTTTTTTCACTTACAGGAACTATATATAATTCATATTAGAATAATACCTACTAACTAAGAAGTGCACTACTATTTAAAATCTTTGTTAAAAGCATGCTTTCCTATTATTATATTGCTCATGTAGAAAACAAGAGGTTTCGTTTTGGATCATTTGTTTTCCGTAAGGGTTATATGAAAAGATCATATTGATCACACACAGTTGCCTCTAAATTTTACTTTTAATAAACAAGTTATATTGCTTTGATATTATTTATGTAATTAATCCTGATTTGTCAAAGAGCGGGTTGTTATAAAAAAATATTTAAGTTATAAATTAATTTTTGCTTATGGAATTTCTTTGCTGAGAATATTAAACGATTGCGTTGATTTCAAACATTTAAATCTATTTACATTCCATGTTTATTTATACAGGTATTGATTTAATTGTTTATTATACAATAACTTGGTTATCCTTTTTTTGATAATTATAACCAACCACTTCAAGCTTTATGGGTGTTTTTGTTGTACTATTTGCAGTATAGTATCATAGATTTCTACATTTCAATACTGCAGCTTACTAATCTTCCATTTCGCTCATGACTTGAGTTAAACTGGGTATTCAGTTATGTTGTTGGACCCTTTTTAATTTCTATTATTTTATTTTAAAAGCTGTATTCGTAGTATACAAATTCTTTTTTTTATGTGTTGTATAATCTACAGCAGATCTGGTTAAAAAGTATTTTAATTATTATTTTAAAATACAGTGTTAAAAATAAAAAAGTATTTTTGTATTATATTCTATGATGTAGGACATAACTTAAAGGAACCTACTCAATTTGATAATTTTTATTTTGTTTATAAAATAAAAAGAAAATACAATTACTTTTATTATTTTTCAATAGAATATACAGTTCCAATCGATATGTTACTTCTTAAAACATAAAATACAAATAATGTATTTTAAAATGAAATACTGCTTTAAAATGAAATCTGTTATACTGTTTCAACTATTTACTGTAAATTATTACAGAAAACAGCATTTACATATTAGAATTGATAATTTCATTGGTTTTTTTGTAAGGCAATAAATCAGTGTATATCATTACAAGGCAACAGAAACTGTTTTATTTGTCTAGAATATTTTAGGTGCAGTATAAATTAGTTTTATGATATATATTAATTAAATATTGATTTATAACTTTAAATGTTACTTAACACTATTTTAGAGTAAATCAGGGAATAAATCTTTATTTTTATTTTATTTTTAAATTAAAATTGTTATTTGGCATTAATTAAGTTCAGAAAAGTATTATTTTAATTCCTTAATGATTCTGGAAAAATCCCAATATAGTTTAAGTTTTGTACTTTGAGATGAACTGTTGCTTTTGTATGTACTGTTGTGATGGAAAACTTGCTTTTATTTTACTGACGTTTTTGGAAATGTTTGATTATCCTAATATTTTGAAAAAAGATTTAGCTATTATTTGATTATTTTAACTTTATTTAATCTTCAATTTCTATGTGGTGTATAGTTATTTGCTAATTTTTATTAATAGTACAATCTATTAAATATACTGGGATTCATTTAATTTCATATATCAATTTTTTTTTATACTCCTAAAACTATTTTAAATTAATGTAAACAATTTTTCATTTTCATTTTCATTCATTTTTCTGGAATGTTTCACACTTTGATTTAAGAATAGAGAAATTGTTTTCTTCATTAGTACAGTGGATATATGGCTGTAATTCTTCATTTATTTTTTAAAGTATATTAGTTTATTTGTATTCTACATAAATAAATTAAATTTCTTGAGTTGTTGGTCCTGATTATCTGTATATATGCTGATAAGAAATGTAATTTCAAATTCTGATGTCAATTACTATTTATACAGTTATGTTACTTATTGTTATTTATATTTAAAAAGCTTTATTCAATCATAATTGAATCGTTATATGATTTTGAGTTTAAGTTGCTTTTAGTGGCAAATTAACTAATTAAATCATTTTTATAAATTATTATTAGTTATTAACTTCTTCATGACGAAGAATTTGAATTATATCTCATTGATTTGTTCTTATTTAATTGTTTCATTTAATTAACAAAGCTTCTCTTATTTTTTTTTAATTATATTTTATATTTAGAACTTGTTTGTCTTTTATGATCTGTGTGTTGGTCACTAAGGTTATTTAAGTCCCATTTAATGAAGGTAAATTAAATGAAAGGAAATTAAATCAGCTGTTTGTTTTGAATATGTTATTTCAAAGTATTTTTTGTTTGTATAGGTTTTATTTAAAAAAAAAACAAGTAGTTTTGATATGAAATGTTGACATAAAATTGGCTGTCTTTCGGTTTGATTTGGTTTATATCTACCAATATCTTTGGATAAGTCGAACATCTGAATTTAAGCTGTCAATATTAGGTAGTTGGTTATAGTGTGAAAACGTTTATAGGTTTGTATGGTCAGTTCTTCTATATTTAACTTAGGTTATCTATGGTTGTGCTATAAGAGAAAAGATAAAGTAACAGCATCGAAGTAAAGTTAGGACTAATGAATTTTATTATTAAACTATATTTAATTTTAGAAATGCAATTTTGTTTATTATAAATTTCTTTTGTGTTATCCTTTATGCATAATATAGTTGAATAATAAGGGCTGTTGTCATGTATAGTGCTTAAGAATGATCAAATAGTGTTGTCAATTTACCTATAGGCGAGGCTGACATTAGTTTGCTATGTATCAATTCATGATTATTAGTTTTCTCCAACAAAGATGAATTGTTTAATTCATGGATTAATCATTGAATGTTATATTAATACTGTACTTTCTTATTTATTTTTGTCTCTTCTGTAGATACTGAATGTATTTTATGAAACATGTCTGTAAATTATTTTTAATATGTTTTAATTATTGAGACAAAGTTGTTGCAATGTAATTGACCATTATAAATGTTAAAATATTTTCAGTTTATGAAAAGTAAATCTTTAAATTGCTATTGTATATTTTTATTTTTACCATATATTATATAAATATCATAATCGAGTAATAAGTTTTTCTTTTATATTCCCATATATCATGAACTCCAACAATTTGTATAAGTAAGCTGATATGATTCAGTTGTTTTATTTGCAATTATTAGGTTTTTTCAAGAATTTTTTCTTGTTCTAGTTACATACTCGATAGCATTTATACAATCTGTATTTTCAATTTAAAAAATTGTATCGATCAAGTATCCACCCCTACAAATTTCCGTTTACACAACCTACAAAAAATCTTAATCAATTTGAACATAATTGGATTAGATACATAGATACTGTAATATGTACAACTTTCTAACTTTCTTTCTTTTTTCTATTGAATGAGGAGCTATTCTGTATAAAGTTTGTTTGGGTAATTTTTGCCAAATTTTTTTTTATTCATTACTGAAATTCAAAATTTTCTATGATCATAGTTCATCATTTTAGGAACATTTATTATTGTATTCATCTTACATTTTGTGTGTCTTGTGTGCCTTATAATAATGAAATCAACATACGCTTAACACTTATTCGTGATTCTAGCTTTTATCTTCAGGAGGTAAATTTTGAACTTTCCAATGTTTTATCCACACTTCTCAGAGAACTTCTGAGATATCTAATTTACTTAGTTTTGATAATGATGGTTGAAGTAGTCTTATCATGCTGATATCTAATGTGTTTGAATTCAACTGACTGCTTATTGTACAAATTACTGATTTTTAAAATTTTTTTATAAGGTTATTAATTATTTGTACACTGTCTTTAAGCATAAAAATTTATCTAAATGTGACATCTTGAATCTGACTTGATTATCCAAAAGGTTATGGTACACATTGAATTTTAATCTTGGCAGGAGAACAATTTTAAATGTATATGTATGTTTAAATAGTATTAAAGCATTGAAATTTGTATGTTAAAGTACAAAATTTGATTGGTTTAGTGTTGTGGATATATTTATATGAACTTGTAGTTTTCTTAAATATACCTTACGTTGGCAAAAATAAAAATTTTACAAAAGACTGCTTCCTGAATATTTATCACCCAAAATATAGCTTAGTTTTAAATTTGTCATTGATGATAACTCCGCATCGAACTTTAGAACGATGATGTGAGGCGATTGAGGTGCTTAGAGTAGAAAAAGATTTCAAGGGCCTCCCTAATAATCACTTCGCTCTTTGTTCTATTTTTTGTAAGTTTTAGTGGCTGCTGGTTAGATTTTCCAACTTACCGATTGGTTAGTGGTCCTTACTCCTTTAGTTTTCTGATTTACTTCCATTTGTTTTGATTTTGTATTTGCAAAGAAGGCTTGATAGGTGGTTAGTTACAAGTTAAAACTTTGAACTTTGACACATATTTACGGATGTCTGTAGTTTACACACTTTTTATTGTATAGATTAATTTAACTCATGAGAATTGTTTGGTTTTATAAATAGTGCCTCCCCAGTAGTGAGAACATTAAATAATTTGATATTTACTAAAAAAAACAAAAAAAAATTACATGTATGTGTTATACATTGAAATTTCAAGCATTTTATGGATTATGAATCCACTAAAAAT